CTTGAGAACGGCTGAACCGATATGGCTAATTTTGGCCTTGAAATGTTCGTGAAAATCCAAGGAAGGTTTAAAAGGTGAGAATTTATTTTAAGCGATACGAAGTTTGCCGGGTCAGCTAGTTACGAATATATTTGCCAGTAATACGCTAAATTCCATTGCAATCGTGGATCATGCAGAAGCTAAGGCTCTAAATAATGTGTGTATGTTACAATTGCTGCTAAGGCTCTAAAAAATATTTACGTTACAATTGATTTGGTTGGTAAACTACTAACTGTTTGGAATTTAATAAAAATAAATTAGGTAACCTTAGCTGTTAGTAGTTGTTAGTCTAGTTCTGACGAATTACATAATCCAATTAAATTCATTTCTGCTAAAGTAGTTTGAAAAGAAAAATATTTGAAAAGATTCTTAACATCAAGTATTAAAACTGTTTCCCCTACGAAGCCGATTCACTATTGTCAGCCCTTACAATATGGATTATTGCGGCACATTGTCCGAAATGTTGTTTATTTGCGCACGCGCACCGTAGCGGTGTAAGTCGATAAGTGGCCACATTATCATACATCGTACTGAAAATATTGATTGAAGTCAGCTGTTATTATTCTTTTGACCAGTTTATGGAACAAATTTTTAGTATAGATTAAATAGACATTATAAAGAGATTATATCTGTGGATTTAACCCACAGATAAGTGTATTTTTTCATGTCTGAAAATCTGTGCTTGTTGTATCAAAACGAGTAACAAAATTGAAGGTAGCAGGACTAATTTCCTTTATTACAATGTGTTTTATCATCTTCAACTTATTCTATAAAAGCATGGACCACCATCAAATATTACACTATCGATCGCTAAATTTTAAAGGTCAAAGCTATACGAAACTCTTGAAATACGTATTTAACGTGTCGCATATGGTAATGGGGTACCGCCATGGTATTGTCCAAGTCGGCTCTTACACCATATGGTCCAAAAATTTATAAACAAGTGTTCGCAAAATCCCACTTTAATGCTCACCGATCATTCATTTGAAGCTTTGAAGATCATCAGACGCAAAATGCAACTCTACACACTAGAAATAAAGTTGAAAATACATTTTAATACAGAATGGGCATTTCATTAATCAAACCGACTAGCGTCGCTGATGTAAACCTTAATAACAAGACGATTAGATTCAAAATAACTAACACAAGTCTAAACGCAAATACAAAAGCATTGAACGCAATTTTTTAAGGCGACAAAACTACTATAAACGCCCTTGTCAATAACTAAACATCATACAAATTTGAACTTAGAAATGAGTGTGATAAAGCTTGAATTAGTTTGAGGGTGGTAATAAAAGAATTTTACAATTAATAGGGTGAATGATCCTAAGACCATTGAGAGTACAAAAGGGATGATTACGCAGCAGGGCTAAGCAGGGTGGTATTGTTGGTGATCAGAACACCATATGGTATGTTGGTATTAGAACTGTTCTGTATTATGGGGATTAAACTGAGCATATTTTAATATGCAGTACAGGTGCTGTTTTGACATTGGAGGTCGATGTTAGCTTTGTGCATAACACGCAATGTATTGTTGATAGAGTTTACAAGAAGATTTAATACAGTGTATCGATATTTACTATTATTTTACACTGCATTTGACTTTTCTAGTTAAAACAAGTTTAGGTTCCATAATTTTGAAAGTCTTAAAATAAAAATTAGTAGTCTTTGCAAGAAACACAACAATACATCTTTTTATACAAATAATGAAAAATGGAAGCTTTACTAATACGGTAAACAGATCTATTTTTACTTGAATACGGTTAACAAAAGACAAATAATCGCCAACCGTCTCAACAAGAAGACAAATGCTAGCAAACAAAACAATTTGAAACAAAAGCAATACTTGGAGATTCACACCTACTTCATCATTGTCTGGATGGAATCGACTCTGGTCCTAAGGGACGCGTCACATCGTTCAATCGGAACAGTATTAACAGTGGCGACTAATCTGTCGGGACACGTCCGAAGACCGATCACAATCAAACTTGCACATGTGAACTTTGCCTCTACATCATCCGTCAGGAATCAGAATTAATTTTCGCCATGATTTCTCTCAACGGGGTAGCAGGAATAACTGGCTTGTTTTCTTTGATTGTGGAAAGGTTTTTGTTAATTCAGAGCATGTTATGACAATCACAGAACTGATTTACAATTATGATTATGTCGAGCATAATAACTTTATAATCTAAGTAAATTTTAGGCTAATTATTCTATCACATTATTTAAGTTAGGTATTTTGTTTATTGGTATAGCCCTTGCCGGGCACCAATTACATTCCAAAGAATCTCTCTAAATCTTACTTCAAAAACTAAGTTACTTTTAGCCCAAAGTTTACACTGCCTTAAATGTTGTATTCAAATCATAAATAAGAAAAATCATATCATCTTTCCACCCTAACACTCACTTATTCAATTTTAGTTATAAATAATCTTCTAATCAGTTATTTATCATCAAATAGGATTATGTTGGTGCTAAAGCGGTTCGTCCACAAATCCTGGAGCTCTGCCGTCCCTTATGCATGGCACGTGTCAGAATATCCGCGGCGTGTGTCCACAATTACTTATCTAACTATTTGTTACCTCTATTGATAAACCATTTAAGCTCGATTTATTGTTATTTTGACTTTTAAGTGATATGTTTCTTGCGATCTCTACTACAGTGTGAAATTGATCGTCATGAATTATTTTTTATTTTGTCATCATTGACAATATGGAAATCTTTTTGGTTGCTTGAACAGTTCTTCAAATCCCAATAATTTTCCACAAACATTGTCCAACATTGTTGCCTCCGTTGTTTGTTCCACAAACAATAAGTGGTTGCAACGTAGTAACACAAGAATTCCCATCTTTTAGGGAAGAAAACATCGTTTGCCCCGAAGCAACTGCTCCATCAATCTCTGTAACAGGCTGACTCGTCATTGACATCTTATTAGGAGTAAACACCGACAAATGTCCATCGAGTAAAGATTGCTTTAAGAATTCTTTATCAATAAAATACAGAACAAAGCATTTTGTGTTCTCAATATTTTACTTTTAATTAATTACAATAAGTATTGGTCCTGCACATGGCTGTAGCTTGCTGTGTCCACAAAACACTTTTCACCAAAAAGCAGTACCAAATCTATTCAACTGTTTCGGACCACAAAATTTAACACATTAAACGCCATGGGGGTCACCGGTAACCGGCGTTAGCGGAGGATTTACCTTCAACAGTTTTTTATTGGCAGTCAAAGTCTTAATCCCATACTCAATAACAAATTATGTAATTCACAACTCTAGAAGATAATCATTAAAATGTGTGCTACTTACAAAACCTTCGCAATACCAGCAAATAAATGAAAATAAAACCACAAGCATGGTGAGAAAACATATTATTTTCCCAAAAAAGCTATTCGTTTTTAGCTTACGAATCAATTTTATTGTGGCACCGAAGACAAATGACTCGCGAGCCTGGCTGACTCTCGCCGTCTATCGCAAATACATTTTTTACTTGTTCTTTATCATTTTTATACAATCTGTGCACAATGCGTGAATATAAAAAGGTTTATTGTTAAGGATTTGCGATAATATTTTATAATTTATCATTAAATTTGTTCATTTTAGAATAATATACTATTTTTAATGTTGATCAGAATATTCTAACATAGATCTAGTTCAGTTGAAACCTAGTATTTTTAATGTCTCATAAAAAACGACCGAAGTACCTATATTTCTTAAAATCTACATATTCTAATTTGAAATCAACAACAAAATTCAAATAAAGCAATACCCGATACCAGTCCACACTAATCCTCACAATATTTCTTTAAATTTTCTCATTAACGCGCCGAGCAAAATAAATGGAACAGATTTTCATTGAGAGCCAACAAATGGCGAAAAAAATGGCTAAAATCTGACAAATGGTTTTCCTTTAACGTCTGCGCCCATCTTATTATCGTTACCCACTACCGAACAGAACTCATTTGGGTCTTCTTTTAACTTTCCTATACATTGCCCATCAACCGAATTTACGCCCTGTACTCTTATTTTTATGACCGATTTTACTTTGGCAATTTTTTCAGTATTAGCTTCAACGATAGTTACAGGATTTACGGTTTTATTACTTTCGTATTTGAGCTCAATTTCGCCTGTAACATCTTCGAGCATGATATCAATTTGAGGAGAAGCGTCTGTGTTAATAGCATTATTCGCAATCTCATCTATACAGTCGGGGGTTAGGCCGACTATATGAAGTATCATTTTTTATGCGACATATAAAACATATTTATTGCAATCATAATCGTTTCAGCTTCTCGAGTGCCATGTTTGGGTAAGATAAATAGAAGATAATGGTTAGAAAAACTTTTTTATTGATGAACTTAGTTTACCTATTTTTTGTTTGTTAGGCTACCATTACAACAACTTTATGTTTTACATATTTCGAAAACAAAGTATTAACCAGCTTTTATTTCTTACAAATGTTCATATATAGTCAATAACGACAACATAATTGAAAAGTCAATGATTTACTGTCTCACTGAAACAAAGAACTAAAATTCCAACACCCATTGTAAAGAAGAAAATTTTGACAATCTATCGTAAGACGATAAAGGTAATAATTTTGCTGACCGTACACAATGAACAGCGAAATAAACCACAGTTTTCAATATCGCACCGCTATTGTCAAGCTGACCCTACCACAACTCAATGCGCTCTCAATTCACAGCAGTTATTATTATCTTGACCTGGTGATTGAGCTCTCCTGCTCTCTATCGTCGTAAAGCTCTCTCATTGGCTGTGCGATTCCTTTCACGCCTCCCGGTCGACGTTTATTGGTCCGTCTCGCCACGCCTTCACAACTTCAAACGCTCTGTTAAGGGTAGTTCAAAACCCCACTTATATATTTTTCACCCTTATGTTACTCACATTCGTATTGTAGCCGCCGGGCAGTACGCACGCGTCTTCTCCGTGTAACCGCGATATAAGTGCGAAAAGTTTGAAGTTCGTGTGCTAGTAATTAATGACCGAACAATGACAATGGACGTTCAAAATAACTATCAAAATTATAAAGACACGTCTCCCGACTTCTCCAAGGACACTAATTTAAACATTGAAAGTGCTAGAACTTCACAAATTAAATCCGAGATGCAGTCAACTGTTTTGAATCCTGGGAAAGCTTCCAAGAGATCATTTGATGTGGCTTTTCTGATGATGCCGGATGAAAAAGTACGACCAAAACCCCCTGAAAGACAACTTAGAGTATCAAAGCAGCTGTTCCACCATGAAGAATGGGAACAAGTTCCGAAGAGGATGCCTGATATTTACAAGCATAGCGATTACTCCAGTGATAACACCATGGACCTCAAAGACCACGACGACGACCGGATTGGTGCGAACAACAATATATCGCCAAGTTTTGGGTCAGATATCAACATTGACGTCGGAACAGACGAATATCCGAGTAAATCTATGTATTGTAGTGATTCTGACAATTCTGAGCGATCACGAAGTCGTCCAAATTCCAATGAAAGTGCCGCGCGCCAGCCGAAATTTTTACCAGAATATAAGAATAAAATTTTCGACGATCCTACTCTAATTACCATGCAGTCACGTGCAAGGTACGAAAGATACTCTGAGAAAGCTGACAACATGTCACCAAAAAGTGCGTTCACTAAAGTTTCAAACTTTTCAATGAGGTCACCTAATCCTTCGGTCAGCCCTGATAATCTTCTTTACCAGAACTCGGTAAGCCCGCCATTATCTGCTGCCAGTCCACCTTCAAGCTCATTCAACAAGACGCCAGGGTTCAACAATCTCCTCACTCCCGCTCATCTGATAAACGGCAGCAACTTTTTTAAAGGTCAGAATGTTCCGTCTTCTTCTCCTAACTACGTAGAGACGTCTATGAGCCAAAGACAGTCTGGATTTAATAAAAATTTGGAATATCAAGATAAACCTGAGACCAAAACTCCACAAATGTCACCGAATAAATTGAATTTTCTGCCCTTTAGACCTGAGATACCATATCTTCAAGCTGGATCATCTTATCCTTTTGGGGTTCAGAACTTCCAATCGCCTAATCCAGACTTTATGAAATTTCCTGTACCACCGAGGGAGAATCCGCTGATAGCCAATCCAGCAGCGGCCATACTAAGTACCTTGTTGCCGCCAACATTGGCCGCGTTTTCTCTGCCGTCGCAAAATGTTTGTGCGAAGTGTAGCATCAGCTTCAGGATGACTTCTGACCTAGTTTATCACATGCGTACTCACCATAAGAGTGAGTCGGCAATCGACCCGCACAGAAGAAAACGTGAAGAGAAATTGAAATGTCCCGTGTGTAACGAGAGTTTTCGTGAACGACATCACCTGACCAGACACATGACGGCTCACCAGGACAAAGAAGGTGATTTAGACGAGGTGCCGGCTGGCCATAAGAAAAGTAAACAATTTTATCCTCACAACGGTAGCTCTCTTTTACATAAATAAAAATATTTTATGCATTTAAGTGCCGAAACACACGAGTAAAAACTGTTCAATGTATATCTTGAAAATAGAAAAGTGAGTTTGATAAAACTGAATATGTTATAAAGTTAGGGTTCTACTTCGGGATGAGATTCCTCGTACTGCCGCAGGCTTGGTATAAATATTTCTTGTTGTTTCGGCGCTACTATTTCAACAAAATGTGTATTTAAATTAGTTTGAATATGAATAGGGGAATGTGTGAAGTTCGAGTTGGTTCTATTGTTCGATAATGTTAATTGTTGTTATCACCTAATCTACGTGCAATATTAGTTGTTAAGTATTTATTTTGTAAATATTAGTTATAGTAGTGGATCATTAATTACAGAGATTTAAACGTCGACTTTGATTTTATTTTCCTCCAATCGGCCACACAACGCAATTAAGTAACTGAAACTTAGTATTAAAGACTGTCCGTTATCTAACAGTTCAGACCTACACTTTCTTATTCCAAAACTAAAATGAGCCCATGAGGGTAATTATAACACTGCAAATAAAAATTCTAATTTCCTTTATAGCTGGGACAATAAAACAATTTAGTACCAGCCACTCTCTCAGCTACTCCGAATGTATCTAATGTTGGGCTCCCCATAACATCACGCTTGCTAACAGGCCGAGGCGTATCGAATTTATGCGTAGGGTGACAGATATAGACGTCACCGAACCCCTGTTTTGGCTGATTTGATTTAAAATAATGTTCCATTTGGTTATCTTTACGATTTTATTTCTATTTTGGGGTAAGTCTTAAAGGGTTGTTATCATTCGCAATTATCACAGATGCTATAAATATAAAAATTCAGTAGTTTGTACAAGGTTTTTTTAAGACAATGATAGAACTTCTTTAGCAGTAATTTTTATTTTCTGAGAAACTACAATTGAGAGTTCCAGTGAAGACAGTCCTTCCCAGTGGATTTACAAGATTACTCGGAGAAGTAGGACATCTTTAAATCTTGCATCACGCTCATACAATCAACACTTGAATAAGAAGTGTAAAGAGAAACTTGAATCAAGTTTAAAAAAAGAAATATATTCTATTTTTGTCAAATCTATACATATAATAAAATTGTAGAAAAGTGCTGTCTGTACATTGAAAATAAAAATAAAAAAAATAGCAGGGGCTATTGTTATGTCGATGTCGAACCCAAAAATGTAACTAACTTTTTTTTTGTCTGTTTGTCTGTTTGTCTGTTCACGCTAATCTCAGAAACGGCTTATCCGAGTTGGATGCGGTTTTCACGAATATATTGTGGTATGCTTCAGTTATGCTTTAGTGTTTGTTTCATGTCAATCGGTTCATAAATAAAAAAGTTACGTCAAATTAAAGAATCACGTCGAACACTATCTATCTATCTATCTATATATATAAAAATCAATTGCTGTTCGTTAGTCTCGCTAAAACTCGAGAACGGCTGAACGGATTTATCTTATCTTGGTCTTGAATTATTCGTGGAGGTCTAGGGAAGGTTTAAAAGGTGAGAAAAATTCGAATAATTGCCGGGAAAATCCTCAAAACAGCATTTTTCTATTTCCCATACAAACGTTTTCTAAATAAAATGGAGAGTCAATTTGTAATTTATTACCGCTGCATAAAGTTCAAATTATTTATTACGATTTATCTGAAAACCTGAAAACGGATATCTGACAGGTAACATTACTATGGTAACCAACCTGATGATTTGTAATTGTTATGGCGTCCTACTTCCATAATATATTTTGGCATCAACATATAAAAATGAAGTTCTGTGGGTTTTCAAGGAATAATATTAGTATTCAGCTGCATCAGAGATTTTAAAGACAAAATACGAATTCAATTGACTGAATACAATTTATTCATAGACTAGCCTCTGTCTGCGGCTTCTCTCGCGTTCTTTTAATGGGGTGAGGGAAGGATTTACAATAAAAAAATGAAATGATGCACGATTCTATGCTGGTCACAAATAACCCGCATACCAATTGTTAGCTTTCCACATTGAAAATTGCAAAATACCCCATACAAACTTTCACCTCTGTTTCACGGAAGTGGAAGGGGGTTAGAAAAAGACAAAAAGTAGCCTATGATACTCTCCATCTTTTCAACTATCTCAAATCAAAAACCTTCCTGACTCCGTTCTGTCGTGAAATACGGACAAACAAACAAACAAGCACATACAAATTTATATTATTAGTATACCTCTACATTTCTTAAGTCATCTGAGATTTGTGTGACAAGTGAGTTTACAAAGTCAATGTGTCATAGATTTTTTTTATACTATGGTATTAATATTAAGGTATGCAAAGAGGTTGACAGCAGTCTAAGGAGATAAAACCACGAATAAAATATTTTCAGTTTACTTGAATTCGTATTTTTTATATGTATATCAAAAAAACTAGCTAAATGCACATAGCTAAAAAATAATATTAGTCCTTTTCATTTTAGACCGTCAAGGCCAAATTCACTATGATAGTTTGCTGTTTTTTTATGGCATAAGCCGGTAAACGAGCAGACGGATCACCTGATGGTAAGCAATCTGCGCCGCCCATGGACACCTGTAACACCAGAAGTGCTAGAAGTGCGTTACCGGTCTTTTGGGAATTGGTAATTTGAGGATTGTCAGGGATTGGGGGGGCTGAGGGAGGGGTAATTGGGCCTCCGGTAACCTCACTTACACAGCGAAACACTCCTTTAGGTAACCGAGGGCTGGGCTCGCTGTCATTGCAGCGGAAAGTCCCCTCTTTAAAAGTGGCTTTAGAGAGGCCATCAATGCGAGGACCGCCCGGAGAACACGGTGGAGCATATCGTGGCGGTGTACCTTGCATGGGCTGAGCACCGCCGTGTTCTCAGGGATGTAGGAAACGGTGACCTCTCGCGTTCGGCTCTGGTTCAGGCCATGGAGCGAGGGGGATTGGGATGCAGTCGCATCATTCTGCGAAGCAGTTATGCTTGCCAAGGAGAAAGCGGAGCGCGTGAGGGCACGAACTTCCTCACGCCCCAGCCGTCGCGGGAGACACTCTGGGCGTCGGAGATCGGCCGACCACAGGCCACCGTAAGTGCGGGTCTGTAGACGAAGAGCAAGGGTAGCTCGCCACCCGACCAGAACCAGTCCCGTGCATACTGCGCGCGCCTTACAGAGCCATGACACCATCATAGATGGAGCCCAGTAGGGCTGATGCTCGATACGGTGCCGTGGGAGGCCTAACGAGTTGACGGGGCTCCGGCTCGACGAGCAGGAGTAGGAACGGAGTGGATTTTAGTCAGTAAGAATCTGTCACTCCCTCTCACCTAACCCAAGGCGGGAGAAGTGATTGGATGATTTTCCGACCTCAAAAAAAATCTCCTTTAGGTAATGACAACCCGATGTGTAAAAAACCACCAAAAAAACTCCTTATATTATTGGTATTGATTACGCTGTGGAAATTATGGACAATAGAGCCAAAGGGGTGTATTAAGTCTTATAGAGGACATTAATATCAACATTAAAGTCCATGTATCATATGTAACTAACCTAATATCAGAATACCTATTTTTTCATTTAAATGTTTGCGATAGTAACGCATGTCGTACCGGTACATATCAGGTCACATTATAGGAGAGAGGAAATCCCAAAATGACGGAAACTATGCGCTAAAAAACCAGGACTAAGGACGTTGAAATAAAGAGGGGCTCTTACCTTTTAAACCATTGAACCTATTTGGTGAAATTCGGTACAGCGATAGTTTGAGACCCGGGAAAGGACATCTAAAAGTTTTTAACCCGAAAAACCCACGAAACCGGGAACTGTGCTGTTAAAATCACTATATCTATTTGATTGAAATGCGATACAACATTGATTTGCAAACATAGAATAGTGAAACCTCACGAGACGGGCACTGTACGGGTAAAACCTCTATGGGATTGTTTATTTTAGAAACCACGAAAATAAATTCATTTCTCAATAAATATAACCTAGGTACTGAATCGATTGTGATGATATTTGTTCCAGTTGTACAGCCGTAGAATATACCTTGACAAAGACTAATTTAAAAACCCAATTTATACAGAAGTCGCTATTTCACGCGGACGAAGTCGCGGGTAACAGCTAGTGAACAATAAAAATCTTTCTCTCGTGTTTGAAACATGACCAAGATCAAAAAGTTATGCATCTTTTGATTCCCGCGGCTGATTCCCGCGAGTTTGATTCCCGCGCGGAATAACTCTTTGTGTGATCCACAGATAGTTATTACGGGTCTGGGTGTCATGTGTATGTAAAATTGTATGTTTGTAAACGCACCCACGACACAGGAGAAAATTCCAGTGTGGGGCAATTAAAAAAAAATCTTCATGCATGAAACTAACACCAAGCTAGAGAAAAATAGTAATGACAAGCAAACTACAATCACGCTAAACTTTCCCATACCAACCCTAGATTGTCAAACAAAAGCTATGATCAATAATGACATTCGTCATCACATCAGTGCACCCAATGACTCCATGAAAAGTCAGATCCCTTCTATAATTTCGTGGCGGAACTAAAGAGCCGTGTCCAATTCCTTGCGAACGTCGCTATTCCCATGTGTTGAGGAGGTTAGAACCAATGGAGGTTAGTCCGGTCCGTTGACGGGATGGCCGTGGATAATCCATGGGAAATATGGAGCAGATTTTTTTAGTAGATTATTAATTTTTGATGGATTGGGATTGGGATAAGGATTTGTATTCTAGGAAATATAGCATATTAAAAAGAATGGATTTGTACGAAATATGTTCTTGTTACTCCTGAGTATTTAGGTATAAGTAGCTTACAAATAGACAAACATACTCCACCGTCGAATAGTGAAGTAATAGCTGACCAATTAAATGAAAAAGTTTTCAATAAGAGCTTTCCATTGATTTTTATATCCTTAACTATTAAAACTTTTTGGATCTGCTCAACAGACAAGATAAAACAATAAGGGAACAAAATAAAAACAGTATTAGGAATAAAACAGATAGAATCTTGTAACACCAATTTTCACCTGCAGTATGAACTGTAAACTCTGAGACACTCTAACACAGAAACATGACAATAGGAAAACAAAACTGAACTTTTATTTCGACCAACGTCCGAATAATGTGGGATTCAAAAAGTTGACAAACATGCAGTTGGAAGTACATCTGTGTGTCGTAAATGTGGAAACTTTGGTGTCGGTGTGAGAAGAGGACAATATTTTTGGTGGACTGCCGAAGCGTGAGTAATTCAATAGAAAATATTCATACTGGGGACTGCGACCGGCGCCCTTCGCGTGAAGCTATAGTGTGTTGTTTTAGGTAATGTTTCTATTTAATTGAAAGTGTTACTTAACTCG